GGCCTTCTTCTAGTACACCATGTTCCCACCTAGTTGGTGGCCCTGTCAGCTTTAGAGAAAGAACTGAACCGTATTCTTTTAACTCAGTTTCTTTCATAAAAGCTTTGAGTTTTGGTGTCAGAGTAGGGTCTCATGGCTTTGGTGCATTGTTTATTTCCTTGTACAACTTTTATTTCCTTGTAAATTGTTGGTAGAATTATTGTCGTCCACTCAATTATCTGCTGGACTCTTATTGGTGGTCCCAACAGTGTTCAGGGATTGTGTCGAGTTGACTCGCCGAGTTATTAGGACTCGGGTCCTCATCAAGCCACGCACTCTGGGTAAAACTTGGGGTTATATAAAAAATATAAAATATAAAAAATATGCTAACTTGTAAAATTATGTATGAATATCTTGTGTGCAATTTTAATATTTTTGATGACGGTTTGCATGTTTTTCTTCTAATATACCCCATTTTATATTTTCCTATTTTTTTAGATTTTTTTGAAGTGTCTCAATCTCTAAATCAATTTTTTTTTCAAGTCCATGTTTTATATTTTTTTTATTTGAAATTTTGAAATTTTTTTAGTTTACTTTGATTTTTACTATTTTATTTTATTTTTAATTATTTTATTTTTATTTTTATTACCTCATACACTAGTTGGACGAGTCCACTCAGACTCGCCCAAGTTACTTGGCTCAGGCAAAGTCCTCCTCACAAGCCCAATACGAGTCCTGACACTAGCTCCTAGTGTTTAAGTTTGAAAGAAGAAGGGCTTGAAATTCCTTGTATTGTTGTTTGATTAGGTGATGCAGTTTTGTTTTAATTTGTTTAATAATAAAAAACACACTCAATTTGATAGGACTTAGATAAGGAGATTTATATCTCAATCCTAATGTCTTGAACATCTCTCTTTCTTTCCCTTACATTTTATTTGGTGCAAGGTTTATCAATCATACTTGACTGGATAAGCTAAGCTATTTTGGATCAGTTTAGTTTGATTAGAGATGATAAAGAAGTTTAGGGAGGGCTGGGTCGGATCGGGTCCAAATCTGAATTTGGATATACATGGGATCCATATCTAGATCCGGATCCAAAAAGTATAAATGGTCCAGATCCGAAACTGATCGGATCTAAAAAAGTTATTTATATATTATCTATAAAATAATATAACAAAAAACTACTATATAATATAAGTATATATATTATAATATATAATATTTTAATAACGGTTGGATCCAAATCAGATCCACCGGTACCAAATCCAATCCAAATTACTATTTGGATCCAATTTGATCCGACTGTTAATTCCAATTATTGTATCCATAGCCAAATGCAGATAGGGTCTAAAATTTAGTTTTCGGATCCAAACTAGATAAATTCTCAGCCCTAAGTTTAGGTTGGTCCTAGATAATTATCTTTTCATATGGTTTGGCTCCAAACATGGTCCGGCTCCAAAAACATCTAGTTAGAGGGGGGATCTTCTTGTAATCTAAAAATTTTCACATGATTTTCTTTTCACCTTGCGAACAATATTTTGCCCAATTTGGGCACTTAAAACAGTAGATTTGGTCATCCATCAAATGGATATCAGATGGATTTGATTTTGAGCATTTGAGTACTGTATGAACTTTTCTTTTCTTTTTTTTTTCCTTTGTAAATATTGTATTCCACGATAAATTCAATTTCGCATATAGAGATAATGAACGCTCTAAGCAGCCAGATGTGAAACTATAAAGCTAGGGCATGTTATTTCTCGACAAAGCGTGGCTGCTATATTTCTAAGGGGCAGAACTGTGTCCGAGTAGTCTTGCTCGATCACCTATTGTTTTGCCATCAAAATATGCTATGCACTATGTTTGCTTGATGCGTAAAGAGGATGGGGAGTCAATTTCACACTTGCTTCTTTATTGTTGACATACAACATACATATGGTATGCTTCTTTGGGATGTTAGGCTTCAGTACAGGTCTTCTTCAAAATGTCTTGGGTATCATTTCTCCGTTAGTATTTTTGGCTTTACCAAATTGAGAGCAAGGATTTGGCAAATTGTTAAAGGAGCTGTGTGTTGCGAGTTATGGAAAAAACGGAATAGACGTACTTTTGAATAAATTTGTCTTTCATGTGACGGTCTAATTCAGCGTATTATTCATATGATATGGTGATGGCTGTTAGTCACTAAGGATGGGAGAGGTGTTAGCGAGATCAATGTGTGGCTTAATCTAACCTATTTTGTGGTCTCTAAGAGTGTTAAGACCATACCAGTTAGCAAATGAATACCCTTGGTGCAAGGTTGGTTAAAGTTAAACTTTGATGGCAGCTCTCTCGGTAATTCGGGTAATGCAGGGATAGGAGGTGTGGTACGTGCTTGGATTGGATCAATTGTTCTTGCCTATGCAGGATCTATTGGAATTGCCACGGCTAACATGGCTAAGTTTAGAGCCTTGCTCAAAGGATTACTCCTTATTAAAGCCATGAATTTGGGTCACGGTATAATGGTCAAAGGTGATTACCAAAATGTGATTAGATGGTGCAAAAGGAACAAAGAGTTCCTTGGTTGCTACGATCGTTTTGGGTCCAAGTGGTGAATTTGAAAAGGGAATTATCTTTACCGTTCCGTCACGTCTTTAGATAATCGAATGATCTTGCTGATGGTTTGGCTAAAAGAGGTGTTGTTATGGATTCCTTTTCTATTTTGAAGATGTAATGAGCGAATGATGGAACTGCATTTTAGTTGACAACAAAATTTGACAACATTTGTCAAACAAAAAAATATGCCATGCACTACTAGTGTATGACACACTACAAGAACTTTGGATTGCCATTGGCCCGGACTTAGGCCAAACCATTATAGGCCCAGACCTGCACTGAAATATTTTAGTTAGGGCTGCCAATGGGCTAGGTTCGGTACAAGTGAGCCTGCACTCGGACTCATTCGAAATTGTTAGGGTGAGGCCTAGGCCAAAATATATCATTTTGGGCCGTACCCGAAAACTTCGGGCCAAGCTCAATATGCATCTACACTATCATTTAATATATATTCTAGTGGATTTACGTATGTGCACGTTGAATTGTAATAAGTTATGAAAGTAAAATTTAAAAATTACAAAAATGTTCATATAGAGCCAAGGCTCTAAACAATCAAATTAGAGCCTATCTCAAAATTTTCACTAGAAGATGTTGTTTTCATGCCCAAATATCCTCAAATTGATCATCTCGACATCAAGATGAATGGACATGAGAAAAAAAAAGGATTTCAAGTTTTGGAAATAGTGTATTTCGCAACGCATTTTTGGACCGTCAATTTTCAATATTTTCAAGCTTTAATAAATCTCTCTATCTACACTATTTTTTAAGCTTTAAAAATTATAAATAAAGATGAAAATATATTTTAAGGCTATCAAAGAGATTTCCAATATTGAAACCACATTTCTTGAAGGTAGGCTCTAATTTGATTGTTTAGAGCCTAGGCTCTTTACAAACCGCACCCATATAGATATAGATATAGTATATTTACTTTATTCTTTGTATAATGTTTGGTCCTAGCTATTTCTTCATCTTAGAACTTCAAAAACACAAAATCGTGATAGATAATTTTTAAATTATTAAAATATTCATTAAAAGTAAGAAATAGTTCTAAACTATTTTTATAAAATAAAACTAAAATACTTTTAACAAATTTATTGTCTAGCGTAAACAGTCTACAGACTACTAATAAATTTGAAGGATGAAAATTTAATGAAAATAGAGAAAGTAGTCATAAATGTATAGCGAACGATTAAAATTTCGAAACCTAAGAACATTCAATATTTTAATATGGGTGCAGTTTGTATAGAGCCGAGGCTCTAAACAATCAAAGTAAAGCACATCTTCAAATAGTGTCGAAAAATGTCATTTCAATACTGGAAATATTTGTGATAGCTTTAAAATATATTTTTATCTTTAATTATAAAATTTAAAGCTTCAAAAATAGTGTAGATTGAGCAGTTCTATGAAAATCTTGAAATTTGACAGTCCAAAAATGCGTTTTAAGCTGCATTATTTTCAAAAATTGAATTGTATCTTTTTTCTCATGTCCATACATCTTGATGCTGAGATGATCAATTAGAGAATATTTGGCTATCAAAACAACCTCTTCTAGTGAAATTTTTGAGGTGGGCTCTAATTTGATTGTTTAGAGCCTTGGCTCTATGTAAACTTTTTCCTTTTAATATTTGATATTTAGCTCAAAATTTTTAATGTGTAAAAGAATTTAATATATCATAATGAAAAAATTTCTTTTCAAAAAATTTAGAGGTATTGTAACTAAATAGCTTTTCAATAATTTTAACTCTTATATCGATTGTATCTTTAATTGTTTTAGCATAAATGAAAGACAAAATATGAGAAATGATACTATAAGATCCTCTCACACCTATGTGAGTAGGACCTCAAAGGATCATCATTCAATTTAGCACAGATCTCTGAAAAAGTTACCACATCGGTGTGAAACTTGACTTTTCTAGAGATGTGTGCCAAATTTGATGGTGACCATTTAGAGTCCTACTCACATGGGTGCGGGAGCGTCTCATAGGATCACTACTCTATCAATATTATGGAAAGGTCTTCCCAGAATCTAGAAAAATATCATCTCTTTTTTTTTTCTTTTCTTTTCTTTTGTTCTAACAAAATTACTAAATATTACTATTGATATGCAAAAAAAAGCATACCAATAAGCCAATAAAGAAAGAACAAGGAATCAAGTAAAAGGAGAGTCTGTCACTCCAAGCTGGCAAAAGAGTTCGTCTCTCTCTTTATTTGAGCCATTTCGCAAGCCTATCGTTTGTAGTACCTCGATTTAGCGGAAGCCCTCTATACCCATTTTGTCGCCTCCCATGATGAGTGAGACAATCTGTCAGGTTTTTTCATGGTCCTTGGTCCCAAACCATTTTTGACAGAGAAAGAGTTGAATCTAGCCCTCGGCTGGGAGTAGCTAAGGCTACCTAGCATTTAGGTCCAAGTGCTTCTTTGTTTTGTTCAACAAGTGATGCTCTGCAACCATTCTTGATTTGCCGTTGCATCATCAATCCAAACTCTGTCCAGATTGACTACAATAGCTTTCCTGTCACTAGCAACAGTTGAAAGAAAAACATTGGGCTTTTGGCGACCCCTGCACTCCTGTAAACAAATGAAATCCGCCTTCGACATTGTTTGAGTTGGGACTATTGTATCGAATCTCTTGATAACAACATCTATCATAAATGAATTCTCTAGTGTTTTACTCCTTACCATCGAGGGATTTAATCGTACACCTGACCACATGCAGTTACGAGAAGTGATCGTGATTCCGTTCCGAATATCCCTTATGCAGTGCCTGTTCATAGGTAAAGTGCTATGTGAGGACTTTGAGATCCATATGTTAAATTTGTGTAGCAAAATCGGAATTCATATGCATATATTAATTAAAAGGGTTCAGATGCGGGAAGAAATTCCAGGTTACCTCCCGAGAATCAATGGGTGGGATGGCAAGACTGAAGGTTTTAAAGAGACCTTTACCGAATTGGTCTTCGTAAGCTTCTATGGCATAGACAGACTCCTCCTGGATTGAGAATTGTCTTCATAGGGAAGTGAGATGGATGCTGCTAAAGGAGGAAGAAGCAATCATCCTGGTCCAAGATTGAAGTCAGAGATCTCTAGACTCCGGAGGGGGGGGGGGGGTGATACGATGTGTAGCGCAGTCTGGTCAGCGCATCTGTTTTGGGTACAAAGGGCCATAGGTTCGAATCCTGTCACCTTGATGTGAAATCAGCTAATACTAAACTAAAATATGAGCATCAAGCGACCGTTACTACCTCATCTTACTAACTTGACCGACTACCACAATCGCATCTCGCATCCGGAATAGGAAGGATATTGGTTGAATATCGCTTGTACCGAACGCATTACTCTCATGTCCTACCATTCTCACCCTTCCTTCCCTTTCCAGTTAATCAGTCCTCGTTTGAGGTTCGGTTCATTTGGAAAAGAGGTCAGTCTTAGGGGAGACCATGCGAATGGTTGAATTGATGACAAAGCTTCGATCTCGTCGACTGAACCTGAAGGAGACTTCGATCATTCAACTTTAGCTTCCGAAGGAATCATGTCACTTGGAATTTCGGAAGGTGAATATTCTCTTTCAGATCTTGGCCTTGGTAGAACTTGTCATTGATTGGGATTTCGATTGAAAAGATGGGCCCTAAGGCGGGCGAGCCGAGCATATTGATCATTCCCATTTCCTACCCCTCTTCGCCGCTACCAGGCCATGTGCAACGAGTGGGAGCAACTCGTCAGGCAACATGCCTGCATTAAAATTGAAAACTTGTCGTCTACTTTCAAGAAATGTTTGGAACAGAGAACTTGCAAGAAAACAACGCCGCATTCTTCAGAATTTCTATTTCCATTCGCGTATATTAGCTCAGAAATGGTCCACGTACCACATTATGTCTCTTTCTACAAACTAATGTTTAAAAATCTGGGAAAGTAAATCATCTCTCTCTCTCTCTATCCATGCATCTCTGTCTTTTCTTTTTCTTTTTTTCCTAATGTTCTATCCATGTGTCTATATCGCTCTTTTCTTTACATTTCTCTATTCTAAACAGATGCACTAAAATTACCTTAAAAATAGTAGGATAGCCTGTATAGTTTTCCCTTAACTCCCTCTATTTCTAAGGGCATACCCTGCAGTTTCTCTAGAATAGGGCTACTTTATATTTTGTATGACACGTGTTTAGCCCTTAAATATGGCTTAATAAAATAGTTTTACGTGATGGCCGCATACTAATGAAGCTCAAGGGAAAGTTCTATAGGACAGTTATAAGACCAACTTTGCTTTATGGGGTTGAGTGTTGGATCGTCAAGAAACAACATTCCCATAGAATAAATATAGTTGAGATAAGGATGTTGAGATGGAAGAATGGCAAGACAAGAAGAAATAGAAATTGATGTGAATATATTTGAGAGAATTTAGGTGGGGTAGAAATAAGCAATAAAACGAGAGAAGGTAGACTTAGTTGGGCTAGCCATGTGTTGCGCAGATCCAATACAACGTCTGTTAGGATGTGCGAGTTAGTTCAAATGGAAGGCTCAAAAAGGGAGAGGGATAGGCCGAAAAGGATATGATTGGAAGTAGTGAAAAAAGATCTAGGGACCTATAGTCTCACTAAAGGTATGGACCTTAGTAGAGAATGATAGACTAGAATTAGTGTAGCCGATCCAAATTAGTTGAGAAAAGACTCTGACAATGATGATATAAACATACCTTTTTTCTTTTCTAGACCGGGCCAATCCCGTCTAAAATTACCTTTAAACTAACATGACGTGTGTACCAGTCCAGCCCACGAGTCTTGCAACACAAACCCAGCCCAAATGCCTGTGGGCCCATAGAGGCCCATAGCAAGCCTAGTTTTAGTAAAGCATAGTCTTTGACTTCCCCGGCTTGGTTGAGAATATCCCATGACCATGGGTGGCCTCTAGACCAAGCTAATGTCTCTCTCTTAAAAAGATATCAAATTATGAAATTTAAAATTTCAAAAATAATGCAGATCAAGCAGATCTATATAGACTTCAACATCTCAAAAATATTTTATATAACAAACTTGTTACAAGATGCACTATTTTTATGACTATAAATGCTTTCTTTTTTCGATGTATTCATATGTCTCGAGGTCGAGATCATCAATTAGATGGTTTTCCAACTTTAAAACACTCTTTTCTACTAGATTTCTTTAGGTACACCTTACTTCTTGATGCAGGTAGAAAAATAATAAACATATAAAAAAAAAAAGGGGAAAATTATCAGAAATATACCTTAATTTTTGTCTAATTAAAAAAAAAAAAAAAACTCAACTTTCATAAACCTTGTCAACAACTTTTTTTTCAATCTTGACATTTTTTAAGCAAAATAGCCTTCACGGTAGTCGTATAACCGTAATGACTACCATATTACGATACTTTAAATATTGTAATGACTGGGTTAAGCATTACATTACTTTAAGTACCGTAATGACTAGGCTAAGCATTACGGTACTTTAAAATCATAATGTTCCATTGGTCTCTTTCTCCCTCATTTGCCACATTTGAAGATTACGGTATTTAAATTATCATAATGCTTAGCCTGGTCATTGTGGTAATTAAAGTATCATAATTTTTAGCCTGGTCATTACAGTAATTAAAGTATCATATTGTCTAGCCTGGTCATTATGGTATTAAAAGTAACATAATGCGATAATATGACTATTGTAAAGGCTATTTTGGTCAATAAATACCAAAATTGAAAAAAAAAAAAAATGATGTGGACGATGTTTATGAAAGTTGCGGGTTTTTTTTTTTTCAATTAGAAAAAAATTAAGGTATATTTCTGATAATTTTTCTAAAATAAAAGGGTTGAGATATTATACTCTCTCTGGCTCTGTAAAAGACTCCACCCTAAGATATTTTCATAAGATCAAATTTTTTCTTTATTCTCTAATCTCTCTCACTACAAATAAGGGATATATTCCCTTTAAATACAAACTTATAAAAAATAATAAATAAAATAAAATAAAAATAACAAGCTAAACTCTATCTCTCATTTATCTCTTAAAAACAACTCTCTCATATCCTAACCAACCCAAACATGATAATCCTTATCCATATCTATCTTTTAAAAATAATAATAATAAATGAACTTTCAATTCTGCCAATTAAATATCTAAAACTAAAAAAAGGCAAGAATAATTGTAAGTCTTAAAAACTATAAAAATTAAAAATATAACTTCTTTATTTGCATAATTCTCCCAGGGTTGAAAAAACCTCGACCTCAAACGTACATCCTTCTTAGGCCAATCGAGTAATTGGTGATCAAACTGTTGGTGATGTAGTCCCACCATGCATTTTGGTATTTTTTTTATAAATCAATTCATCAAATATTTTATTTATAGAACATTAGGATCTCAAGCTAAATCGTGATTTCTTTTTGAAGTTCCTCATAAAACTCGAGAAGATCGAGTTGAATATCAAGATCATGTGGATACTCATCATATCATAATTCTTGCATTGCAAAGTGATCATCGTATTCACGATCAACATCTCTAATCAGTAGTGGGCCTCGATTCATCTCTACAACAAAATCTAGCGTTGGATCTTTATGCTAGCGAGCACTCTCTTCTCGAATAATAATATTCATCAACCATTACAACCATTGATTCATTTCTTGAATGCCGTTTCGAACATCTTCCATGACTTTGGTAGATTTTCTAAAATTTGGCACATGCGATCATTGATATCATGATTAGGTTTCTATGGCATTGTGATGGTTAGATTTTCTTTGCTCTGATACCAACTAATGTAGGGAGAAAAATAAAATAAAATCGATTGAGTGATTATACCATCTCCCTGAGTCTACAAGGGAGTCGACCCCAAGATTTTTTTTACTAGATTAAACTCTTTTTTTATTATCTAATCACTCTCTTTATATATAAGGGACATCTTCCTTTTACATACAAACTTATAAATAATAATAAAAAGAGTAATGATCATATGAAACCCTCCCACCACACCCATGTGTATAGGATCCCAAAAGATTATCATTAAATTTGGGACAGATCTCTATAAAAGTCAAGTCTCACTCCCATATCATAACTTTTCTAGAGATTTTTGCTAAATTTAATGGTGATTATTTGGGGTCCTACACACATGGGTGTGAAAATGTCTCATAAAATCATTACTCTAATAAAAAAATAAAATAAAAAATAACAAACTAAACTCTCTCTCTCTCTCTCTCTCTCTCTCTCTCTCTCTACTACTACTACTACTCTAC